CAGTCTGCACCCACCAGTGGACACGACCAGGAGGATGTTTCCCATGGACTGAGTGGATCCCTCGGAAGAGGGCCGGCTTGAGCCTTTCCTACAGTACTCCACCCATGAAGAGAGTCTGCACGGCAGCACTGGGGAGGAACAGGAACCCAGGAGAGGGAGAAGACGGAAAGGGTGTCCATGTTCCCATCTATCATCTAAGCCCCTCAGGCCCAGGCCAGACTGGTGGTGCGGAGAAGCAAGCGTGTGATATTAAAGTTTCAAAATTGATTAAACTGAACTGGGATGAGCTGGACTGAATTTTTAACACGCCCCAGCCTCCTCCTGCGACCTTGTCCCAAAGACTGTAAGGCTGTGGGATTTACCCAAGATGATTTTAAGGGTCAGGAAAAGAAGAAGCTTCAACAGAGTATTATGAAGTAGTTTGGAAAAAAAAAAATCATTTTGTTTGCTTCTCACTAAATTCAAACCATTCACCAAACCAGTTACATTGATGCAAAACAGGTCATGCCTCATATTCCAGCTGTTAAAATATACTTCTGCCCATTTCTAACTTAAGATTTAAGTATCTGGGTCGCTTGGGTTTTGGTCAGTGCTAATAAAATTCTAGTATTCAGCCTAGAAACTGCAGGGTCTCCTAATGACCGGTGAAAGAAATCTCAGAAAGACAAGGCGAAAAAAAGTTTCCTTTTATCCTACAGCTACAGAAAAGCCTACCCTATTCTGCTTCATAAAGTCAGTTCTAATCAAGTGGGGAACTGAAAACTATCATGAAAGTCTCTAAATCTTCTGCCTGGGAATCTTGTGTGAAAATGTATACTCTTTTTACTCTAAAACTGTCCTCAAATGTATTTGTACAAGAGTCTTTTCAGATACCTGAATTTAAGAGATTATTTCTATATTCTGTGAACTGTAACCCACCACTCATAAAAGCCTGCAATTCTGATTGGTTAACCCACTTAAGAATTTTTTTTGACTAGTTGTAATATTTAAAATGACATCTCTGTTTTCTGAAATATGCAAATATATGTGAGAGTTCTTTAAGCTAGAGAAAGAGCTTTGAAATTTCCTTTTCCGTTTATGTATTAAAGAATTATAAATGCCATGCCTCTGTTGGAGTCCTTCTTCACGTACAGAGTTGACAGTCTTTGTCTCATTTAAGTTAGCACACCAAAAACAAACAAAAAAAAAACCCAAACTCGTTGCTGTCAAGTTGATTCCAACTCATAGTGACCCTACTGGACAGAGTAGAACTGCTGCATAGGGTTTCCAAGGAGCAGCTGGTGGATTTGAACTGCCAACCTTTTGGTTAGCAGCCAAGCTCTTAACTACTGCACCACCAGCACACAGGTATGGTCAAAGCAACAAGCATCAAACTCGCCATCTCTTGCAGCGCATCTTGGCCAGGTCATTCCTGGCCATGAAAGGCAGAGGCCATATGAAACAGATGTGGAACTGCATGTTAAAAGCATTCACGTCAACAGTTTGATGAACTTGCAGGATAAATATTTATTGAGTGTCTCTCGTGGGCCAGGCAATGAGTGAGGCCACAAACAGGCATGAGACATAATCCTTTAGAAGGAGGTTGAGACTGACCCAGGAGACACACAATCACCACACGACAGGAACAGTACGGTAACAGGGCTAGGGATGGAAGGCTGCCGGCATGGTGAGGAGAAAGTGGACAAGTCAATTGAGGCAGGTTTCACTCAGGAGGTTCTATTTGCGCTGGGTCTTGAAGGATGAGTAAGAATTTACTGGGTGGAAAAGGAAAGTGTCATGGTTTGAATTATGTCTCCCCCAAAATGTGTGTATCAGTTTGGCTAGGCCATGATTCCTGGTACTGTGTGATTTTCCTGCATGTTGTAAACCTGCCTCTATGATGTTAATGAGGGAGGATGGGTGGCAGTTGTGTTAGTAAGGCAGGACTGGATCTACAAGACTGGATTGTGTCCTGAGGCAATCTCTTGAGATATAAAAGACAGAAGTGAGCAGTGAGACAGGGGGACCTCATACCATCAAGAAAGCAGTGCCGGGAGCAGATCGTGTCCTTTAGACCAGGGTCCCTGTGCCGAGAAGCTCCTAGTCCAGGGGAACACTGATGAGAAGGCCGACAGACAGAAAAAGCCTTCCCCTGGAGCTGACACCCTGAAATTGGGCTTTCAGCCTACTTTGACTGTGAGGAAATAAACTTCTCTTCATTAAAACCATCCACTTGTGGTATTTCTGTTACAGCAGTACTAGATGACTAAGACAGAATTTGGTACCGAGAGTGGGGTGCTGCTCTAACAGATACCTAAAATGTGGACGTGGTTTTAAAACTGTGAATGGATAGACGTGTGGCAGTGACAGAGGACCAGCAGCAGCAGAGAACCTACAGCAGCAGAACCAGGAGACCAGTACGAGACGGTGCTGGAGCTGACCCACGGAGCGAGAGAGCTGAGTGCGTGTGCAACGGAGGCTTCCTGGCAGAGTGGGGTGCTTCCACGCACTTATTGGTGGAGCTAGGCTTGCTGACCCACGGAGCAAGGGAGGTGAGTGCCTGTGTGCAGGAGGCTTCCTGTCAGAGTGGGGTGCCTCCAGGCATTTATACCGGTGGAGACACTGAGCTTTGGAACACTTGCCCCAGCAGGGCAGATGTGGGCTTGAGGGCCGAGGGCCTAGAGGCCATAGGAAGCAGAAGCTGAAGAGACAAGGGACACAAGAAGCTGAGCTACTTCGTCTCAAAAGGTATGGCCATGACCTCAGGGGTTTCAAAGTGTGGAGCCATGGCCTCTGGTGTTTCTAACGGTGGAGTTGTCACTCCAATGGACTAGGAGAATGGTGCGCCTAAAGCCAAGGGAACAGAGTTGCTGTCCCAGTGGGCCTGGAAGGCGGAGCTGAAGCCCCGGGCCGAGGGGCCTCCACTCAAAGTCCAGAGACTGTGGCCAATACCTAGAGTCTGGAGGGCAGGGCCATTGTATAAATTGTCTCAGAGAACAGAGGATTATTTTCAAAGCCTTGAGGGCTAATGTAATGTGTTCTGCTGATTTGCTTGGTGCCTGTTATCACTTCTGTCCCTTCAATTTCTCCCATTTGTAATGGAAATCTCTAGCTTATGCCTGTTCTGCCATTGTACCTTTGGAAACAGATGACTTGTATTCTAGATTTCACAGATGAAGAGGAATTTTTGGATTTTGGACCTGGAGTTAAGACTTTTGCTGTGATATGATGGGGTGAATATGTTTTCCATGTTGCAAGGGTGTGATTTTTTGGGGGCCAAAGGGTGGAATGTCATGGTTTAAATTATGTCCCCCAAAAAATGTGTGTATCAGTTTGGCTAGGCCATGATTCCTGGTACTGTGTGATTTTCCTGTATGTTGTAAACCTGCCTCTATGATGTTAATGAGGGAGGATGGGTGGCAGTTGTGTTAGTAAGGCAGGACTGGATCTACAAGACTGGATTGTGTCCTGAGGCAATCTCTTGAGATATAAAAGACAAAAGTGAGCAGTGAGACAGGGGGACCTCATACCATCAAGAAAGCAGTGCCGGGAGCAGAGCGCGTCCTTTGGACCAGGGTCCCTGCGCCGAGAAGCTCCTAGTCCAGGGGAACACTGATGAGAAGGCCGACAGACAGAAAAAGCCTTCCCCTGGAGCTGACCCTGAAATTGGGCTTTTAGCCTACTTTGACTATGAGGAAATAAACTTCTCTTCATTAAAACCATCCACTTGTGGTATTTCTGTTATAGAAGCACTAGATGACTAAGACAGAAAGTGAAGAGCATCTCATGAAACCAAGAAAAGGGGTAATGTATTTATTTATTGGAAAATGATTAAAAGTTCAGCATAATCAATTTATTATCTGTAAAGATAACTCTGGAGGGCAATGAAGGACACAAGACTAGAGTTAGAGGCACCAGGTAGGAGGCTGTTGTTGTTGTTAGGTGCTGTTGGGTCGATTTCGACTTATAGTGACCCCATGTGACAAAGTAGAACTGCCCCATAGGGTTTTCTAGGCTATAATCTTTATGACAGCAGATGATCTACCATGTCTTTCTCCTGTGGAGCTGCTGAGTGAGTCCAAACCACCAATCTTTCAGTTAGTAGCTGAGCACTTAACCACTGCATCACCAGGGCTCCTTAGAAAGGAGGTTAATTAACAACAATTTATTGAATATATAGTGATGAAGTGCATACAGGGTGCCCAGGCACTGTGCTAGGTTCTCCCTAGGGGCAAATACAGACAAGCAAATAGGCAAAAACAGAACTGGTAACATGTTAAATGCCATAATGAGAAAGTACAGAGAGCAGCTCCCCAGACGTGAGTTGCTTGGATTGCAGAAATCCAACAGAGAAATACTCAGGGAAAGAGGGTAAAAGAAGTGAATACGTTTAAAGGATACCTAAAAGGTAGAACACTCTAGCAGATGCTGTTTGGGCCCCACGCATGACCCTCGCTGTTCCCATGCATCTTACAGCTTGCTGCTGCAAGCATCTCAGACTGTTCCCTGAAAACATCTGTGCTTGGCTTGCTCAAGAGCCAGGTCAAGAAGGACCTGGAGTCAGCATCCCTGGGAGCATCCCATGATCCTATGCAGGAATGGAGTTGGGGAATAAACTTGCCCAGGTTTCCTTGCCCTCAGGTAAGTCACCTCGGTCCACATGGATTGAGTCAGGTGCCCACGGTAGCAACCTGCTCATTAACGCGCCCTGTTCCGGCTCCCTTCCCTTCTCTGTCTCACTTCCCCATTCTACCGGTGCTTCCTGGAATCATCTCCCAGATAAACTACTTGCACTCAAATCTTTGTCTGGGATTCCACTTTGCGGGCAACTTAACCTGAAATGAACACGCAAAACACTGAAAAAGTAGATGATAAATATGAAGACTCAAGCAGGAAGCTATGAGATTTCTAGCTTGGGAGATGCTGACCCAACAACTGAGATAAAGCCTCCTTAGTATTAAAAAAAGGGACAGATCTAGGGAGAAAAGGATGAGTTTGGAAACACTGAGTTTAAGGTGCCCAAGGGACTTGTGATCTCAAAATTCCTGGAGTCCAAGGTTATGATTCTTGACTTCGGAAAAAGTGAAAAGAAACAGAGCAGAAAAGGGATGACAGTTCCTACACAAAAGAAGAAACCACCAGCGACAAACATCACACGTCCCTACAGGGCAGTTACAGTATCTTCCTTTGAACCAAGAGAATATAAAGCCCTCGCTGTCTCTTCCAGCCGCTTTCTGTATTCTAATTTCTCATAGTTAGAAGGACTCACTCCTTTAAAACCGTACATAACTCCCCACCAGCAGCCGGCAATGGCAGCCGTGGAATCGCTGTCTCCACCATGGAAAAAGGCTCGGTGGGCAAGCTCCTTCCAGGAGTCTCCTGCAGCAAGGATGGCATCATAGGCAATCATGGGGGCATCGTGCCCACTGCTGCCGCCCCAGCCAGAGTAGCTCACGGAAACGTAGAACTGATCTCTCTCTTTCACATCAAAGGGCTTTGGGAAGATAGGGGCTGATTTGCCGTCCCAAATCCCTCTAAGTTTTAGATACTTTTCCCATTGGTCTTGGAAGTAGAACCTGTAGGAAGGAAAAAAGTCTACATCAACTGAAAAAATAAAGTTAAAAGGAAAGGCATCAGATGGATGTGCAAACAGGGAAAATTCCAAGATGAGTTCAATTTCTTGTAGTAATATCCTAACCTACATACAAAATCAAAAGTAGCTCTAAGCAACATTCATTCAATAAATTTTTGCTAAGGATCTACATAAACAAGGAACTGGCATCTGCTGCTAAATAAAGAAGATATACATCAAGCTAGAGAGTGGAAAATAAAGGTCTATTTTTTTCTGGGTTGAGGGTAATGTCAAGTTTTACCTTTCAAGGGTGACACTTTAGGATATCATAACCATGGGCGACTTCAGCAGAGAGCCTCTGGACGTTTTTATTTCAAGAAAGGTACTAAGAAGTGAACTCACAAAAAGGGAATATGTGGTCTTATCAGTTCAGTAGTGGAGAAACCTATCTCTCGAGTATTCTAACCAAGGATTTCAAAATATTATTAGCCAGTCAAAATAATACTGAAAAAACAAGTTCTGTGGAAATAGGAGATAAGCAGGAATGCTCATCTCAGTAGAGCAGAACCACAAAAACTAGAGAAAACTGGAATACAGAGCAAGATCCTTACACAGAGGGACACATTAAGGATGCACTACTCATTTGAGGACTAAGGTACGCCTGATCCAAGCTATGTTGTTTTCAATTGCTTCACATGCACACGAAAGCTGGACAATGAATAAGGAAAGCCAAAGAAGAATCAGTGCCTTTGAATTATGGTGTTGGAGAAGAATACTGAATATACCACGGACTGACAAAAGAATGAACAAATCTGTCTTGGAAGAAGAACAGCCAGAATGCTCCTTAGAAGTGAGGATCGCAAGACTTTGTCTCACATACTTTGGACATATTATCAGGAGCGATCCGTCCCTGGAGAAGGACAACATGCTTGGTAGAGTAGAGAGTCAGCAAAAAAAAGGAAGACCCTCAACGAGATGGATTGACACAGTGGCTACAACAACGGACTCAAGCATAACAACGATTGTGGGCATGGCGCAGGACCCGGCAGGGTTTCGTTCTCTTGTACATAGGGTCGCTAGGAGTCAGAACCAACTCAATGGCACCTAACAACAACAACAACTGATTGAGGCTTCCACTTGGCTACTTTACGGCAACCACTGCTGGAAGTGAACTTGAAATCCTTAGCAGGTGGGCAGGGAGGGGGCTGGATAAAATGGAAGAACACTTGAGCAGGTGCACGTATGCCCCCAGATCCAACCACATTCTAGCATGCACACACACCAGTAAACTTACCAGTGCTGAAGATTCTCCTCCACAAAGTAGCCTGATTGGACAATGTACTTTTTAGCTTCTGGTAGCACCTCCATCAGACCGTTTCCCCATTGCTGGGGTGGTTTGCCATTCACAGCATAGGCTGTAAAAAGAGCAGACACAAGGGCACCCAGGTATCCTGTGGGGTGGTGGTGGGTCATCCGGCCACTCTCGATGCTCACTTGGATCAGTGTGTCCCTCTGGCTGCAGTGAGGGAACCTGAGACCAATGCACATGGCCCGCATGGCAGCCCCACAGCCACCCTCGTACTTGTTGAAGGGAATCCTCCAGCCATTGGCCTTGTGCGGCTCCAGCTGCATGGCGTTCTGTGCTGAGGTGGCACCTGGGGAAGAGTCAGGTAGGGTGTGGGGGTTAGTGTAACCAAAGCAAATGCCCCAGCAGAAGGGAGGAACCAAGCTCTGTCCCCAAGTTTCTTCAATGGAAAGGGAAAGCCAAGAAAATATGACACATCTACCAAACTCCAAACCCTAATCTCAAACCCCATCTCCACACTGCCTTACTTTATATACAATCCTTAGCATGATAACATTAATAAAAGGAGAAGATTCACACAGAGAGCCTTAGAATCTTTACCAGTTATTATTTAATCATCACAAGAACACAAAAAGTAGGCATAAAGTATTATTATCTTTGTGAAATGAATAAGCTAAGGCTCAGAATTTAAGAAACTTGTTTAAAATCATACAAGCAGCTAATTAGTCGCCCAGTCAAAACCATCAGACTTCAAAGCCCAAGCCCTTAAATGGTCTAATGAGAACCTGACAATGGAGTTCCTGAATACAGGCAGTCCCCGGTTACCGACGGCATCCGCTCCTAACTGTGTCTTGGAGTCTTTAAGTCGAATTTGTAGGTAAGCCAGAAGAGGTGCATACAGTTCTTATTTAGCCTTACTTTAGTGCAAGAAAAGGCTCAAAGCCTTTTAATGATTTAAAAGCTGCATGTGCAGCAAGTGAAGTTGACTGTGATAGAGAATCTGTTGGGAGTAGGGATTGGTTCGGAGCCCTGGTAGCATAATGATTAAGAGCTCATCTGCTAACCAAAAGGCAGGCAGTTTGTAATCCACCAGACACATCTTGGAAACCCTACGGAGCAATTCTACTCTGGCCTATAGGGTCACTATGAGTTGGAATCAATTGGACAGCAATGGGTTTGATTTTTTTTTTTTTTTTTTTGGTTTAGGGTTGGTTCAATTGTTTCAAAGTGAAGGCAAATTTCCATAATACTGAAGGGTAAGTACGAGTTGTCCGTACTCGGATGTTCATAACCCTGGGACTGCCTGTATCAGAAAAAGGCCACAAATTCTACAGTGAAGAGCACTGGACTCGGGTGAGGAGCCATGGGTTCAGAGGAACAGGTTAAGTCACGAAACCAGAGTCTGGACCTTGGTTTTCCCATGAGAGTGGTATGATCAGACCTGTCCCATCCACCTGTCTTAGTGGGAGCTGTGAATACACACGTAAGCCAAGCAGTGGCAGGGAACATACTATGGACTGAGGTATTGGTCCCTGATCAGCCAGTGTATCCACAGCAATGTTCATGGCACAGGTGGATAAAGAGAACTTTCACCTTGTCAAACAAGCAACATGAGATGTTGAGAAAAGATGAACACAGGCTGCCTTCCAGATGTCTCTGGACAATATCTGGGTTCACCAGAGGCTCCTGAATGAAGTGGGCAGGTGGGCTTTTCACTAAGAGGACTGGTGGGTCAGCGGGTTGTAAAACGCTCCCAAAGTAGTGAGATTCAGGACCAGGAGTCTCCACAAGACCCTTCCCATTCTTCTTTAAAAATGTCTATCTTTTTCTTTATAGTTGCTCATTACAGAAAAATTAGAAAATACAAATAAGCAAAACAAGACAAAATAAACTATATATATTCCCATACTCAGGTATAAATAACATCTTTGTACATATTCTTCCAGACCTCCCCTAATACAGATATATACTTTCAATGACAATGGGTTCATAAAAGACACACTGTTTTATAACCTACCTTTCTTTCACTTAATATATAATAATACTTTTCCATATCAGTAAATGGAACCCCTGGGTAGTGAAACAGTTAATGTGCTTGGCTGCCATCTGAAAGTCTGGAGGTTCGAGTCCACCCAGAGACACCTTGGAAGAAAGGACTTGTAATCTACTTCTAAAAAATCAGCCACTGAAAACTGTACAGTGGGCTCCCTAGGTGGCACAAATGGTTAAGTGCTTGACTACTAGCTGAAAGGTTGGCGGTTCGAACCCACCCAGAGGGGTCTCAGAAGAAAGGTCTGGTAGATTACCAGCAGATAGCTTCCGAAAGGTCACAGCCTTGAAAACCCTATGGAGCAGTTCTACTCTGACCCCTACGGGGTTGTCATGAGTCAGAAGAGACTCGACGGCAACTGTGTGAGGGTTTTTTTATATCAGTAAATATGCATTGGCATAATTTCAAATGGCAGCAAATGTGTCACCATAATTTATTTAGGGGCATTTAGGTTGTTCCTAGGACCCTGGGTGGCACAAATGGTTAAGCACTTGACTACTAGCTGAAAGGTTAACAATTCGAATCCACCCAGAGGCCTCGGAAGACAGGCCTGGCGATCTGCTTCTGAAAGGTCACAGTGTACAAAGTCCGATGGAGCAGTTCTACCCTACACACGTCCAGCTGCCCTGAGCTGCAGTCGTCTCCGTGGCAACGAACAACAACAAAGGTTGTTTCTATTTTTATCACAACTACACACAGTACTGTCTCCTTGATATAAACCTCTATCAACATTCTTTTGTTTGTTTTTTATTGTGCTTTAAGCAAAAGTTTACAGTTCAGGTCAGCCTTTCATACAAAAATTTATACACACATTGTCATGTGATCCTAGCTGCTCTCCCTACAATGTGACAGCACACTCCTCCTTTCCACCTCGGATTTCCCCTGTCCATTCAACCAGCTCCCATCCCTTTTGGACTTTTCATCTCGCCTCGGGACAGGAGCTGCCCATTTAGTCTCATGTATCTACCTGAGCCAAGAAGCACTCTCTTCACGAGTATCATTTTATGTCCCATAGTCCAGTCTAATCTTTCTCCAAAGAGTTGGCTTCAGGAATGGGTTCAGCTCCGGGACAATGGAGAGTCTGGAGGCCATGTTTTCTGGGTCCCTCCAAGTCTCAGTCAGATCATTAAGTCTGGTCTTTTCACTAGAATTTGAGTTCTGCACCCTACTTTTCTCCTGCTCCATCAGGGACTCTCTGTTGTGTTCCCTGTTAGGGTGGTCATTGGTGGTAGCTGGGCACCACCTAGTTCTTCTGCTCTCAGGCTGATGGAGTCTCTGGTTTATGTGCCCCTTTCTGTCTCTTGGGCTACTATTTCCCTTGTGTCTTTGGTGTTCTTCATTCTCCTTTCATCCAGGTGGGTTGGGACCAATTGATGTATCTTAGATAGTCACTCACTAGCTTTTAAGACCCCAGACACCACTCACCAAAAAGGGATGCAGAACATTTTCTTAAAAAACTTTGTTATGCCAATTGACCTAGATGTCCCCTGAAACCATGGTCTCCAGACTCCTGCCCCTGCTACTCTGTTCCTCGAAGTGGTTGGTTGTATTAGAGAAACTTCTTAGCTTTTGGTTTAGTCCAGTTGTGCTGACTTCCCCTCTATTGTGTGGTCCTACCCTTCACTAAGATAATTCTTATCTACTATCTAGTTAGTGAATTCCCCTCTCCCTCCCTCCCCACCCTCGTAACCATCAAAGAATGTTTTCTTCTGTGTTTAAACCACTTCTTGAGTTCTTATAATAGTGGTCTTATACAATATTTGTCATTTTGTGACTGACTAATTTCACTCAGCATAATGCCTTCCAGATTCATCCATGTTATGAGATGTTTCGCAGATTGATCATTATTCTTTCTCCTTGCATAGTATTCCATTGTGTGAATATACCATAATTTGTTTATCCATTTGTCCATGGATGGGCACCTAGGTTGTTTCCATCTTTTTGCTATTGTGAACGGTGCTGCAATGAACATGGGTGTGCATATATCCATTCATGTGACAGCTCTTATTTCTCCAGGATATATTCCAAGGAGCGGGATTGCTGGATCCTATGGTACTTCTACTTCTAGCTTTTTAAGGAAGCACCAAATCAATTTCCAAAGTGGTTGTACCATTTTACATTCCCACCAGCCGTGTATAAGTGTTCCAGTCTCTCCACAACCTCTCCCAACATTTATTGTGTTTTTTGGATTAATGCTAGCCTTGGTGGGGTGAAATGGTATCTCACTGTAGTTTTCATTTGCATTTCTCTAATGGCTAATGATCCTGAGCATTTCCTCATGTTTCTGAATGTCTTCTTTGGTGAAGTGCCTGTTCATATCCTTTGCCCATTTGTTAATTGGGTTATTTGTCTTTCTGCTGTAGAGGTTTTGCAGTATCTTGTAGATTTTAGAGATTAGAAGCTGATTGGATTTGTCGTAGCCAAATATTTTTTCCCAGTCTGTAGGCTGTCCTTTTACTCTTGTGGTGAAGTCTTTTGATGAGCATAAGTGTTTGATTTTTAGGAGCTCCCAGTTATCTAGTTTCTCTTCTGGTGTTTCTGCATTGTTACTTATGGTTTGTATTCCATTTATGCCATGTATTAGGGCTCCTAGCATTGTCCCTATTTTTTCTTCCATGATCTTTATCGTTTTAGATTTTATATTTAGGTCTTTGATCCATTTTGAGTTAGTTTTTGTGCATGGTGTGAGGTATGTGTTTTTTTTTTCATTTTTTTGTTGGTGGATATCCAGTTATGCCAGCACCATTTGTTAAAGAGACTGTCTTTTCCCCAATTAACTGACTTTCGGCCTTTGTCGAATATCAGCTGCTCGTGGGTGGATGAATTTATGTCTGGATTCTCTATTCTGTTCCATTGGTCTGTGTGTCTGTTGTGGTACCAGTACCAGGCTGTTCCGACTACCATGGTGGTATAATAGGTTCTAAAATCCGGTAGTGTGAGGCTTCTCACTTTGTTCTTCTTGAGTAATGCTTTACTTATCTGAGGCCTCTTCCCTTCCCATATGAAGTTGGTAATTTGTTTCTCCATCTCCTTAAAAAATGCCACTGGAATTTGGATCTGGATTGCATGGTATATGTTGATCGCTTTGAGTAGAACAGACATTTTCACAATGGTGAGTCTTCCTATCCATGAGCAAGGTATGTTTTTCCACTTATGTCGGTCTCTTTCGACTTCTTGCAGTAGTGTCTTGTAGGTTTCATTATATAGGTCTTTTACGTCTTCGGTTAGATTTATTTCTCAGTATTTTATCTTCTTGGGGGCGATTGTAAATGGTATTGATTTGGTGATTTCCACTTCAA